CGCCCACACAGGGGCGCCGCCCGCAGCCGCCATGCTCGCAGCGCCTCGCCCGCCGGAGCTGGGGCACATCGAGCCAGCATGAGCCAAGGTGGCCACGGCAGAGGGAGGGCGGCAGAGGGACGCGGAGGGAGGAGGCGGTGCCGACGCGTTCACGCTAAGCAGAAGTTCCTGACCGTATGAAACATGCGACAGGGTTGGGTTGGGCCAGAGGAGGAGGAGGAGGAGGAGGAGGAGGAGGAGGAGGAGGAGGAGGAGGAGGAGGAGGAGAAGGAGGTAGAGGAGGAGGAGGAGGGGGGAGGGGGGGGAGGGGGAGGAGGAGGAGGAGGGAGTGAGGGAGGCGGAGGGAGGCGGAGGCGGGAGCAGGAGGAGCTCTCCGAGGCGGGGCCCGGGCGGGCCGCTGAGGCGCCCGCAGGGGCACGGCCTCGACGCAGCGTTCGCGGCCGCGGGCCGACAGCGGGACCTCGCGGCGAGCTCTGAAGGCAACGGGCCGACTGCTGTTGGCCGTTCGCCCTCCGCGGCCGCCTTTGTCAGCGTCGCCGCAGCCGTCGCCGTCGCCGCCGCCGCCGTCGCCGTCGCCGTCGCCGTCACCTTCGCCGTCGTCGTCGTTGCCGTTGTCGTCGTAGTCGTCGCATGCTCTTCCAACAGAGGTCCACACTTCAGCGCCTTGGCTGCACCTACACGGGATAACGCAGTGGGCCTTTCGATGCTATTGCCCCAGTACCTCTCACCTCCTTGACTTCTCCCACCAAGGTTCCTCTCCCTCCTCCTCCGCATCATGCAACTCTTCCTGCTCCTTCTCCTCCTCCTCCTCCACTTTACTCCTTTGGGGAGCGGCGGCATGACTCAAGAGTCTGCCACCGTGCTTGAGCAAGTTGCGGAGTGCCCCAGAGACTCACACAGTTGCAGGATCGGTCAGCATCGGCCCGGCTGCGCCAGGATGAACAACAGCATCCTGCAAATATCGGTCCGCACCGGATCGTTGCGACATCGAAGTCGAATCGGATGGGGCCAGCTTGAGTCGCTATCCGACCAGATGATTGAACGGATCGATCGGATCGAAATGGACCCTGAGTTGTGAATTGCAGAAGGACTGTAAGCTCTCACTGGCCCAGGCCGCCGATTCGCCCGGATCTCTGGTCGCTCGGGCGCTCCCAGCGTGTGCCGCGAGAGCCTCCCAGATGCCAAGACTATTGAACGACTCTCGATTCCTCGAGGGCTTCAGCCCCGGGAGGGTGCGCCATGCCAGGAGCACGGGGCCTTCCAGACCCAGGACGGACAAGCCCCTGGAGACTACCCCGAGGTCCGAGGAGGAAGGGGCGTGAAACGGAGGCGGAGAAGAGGGAAGACAAGAATTGAGTCGGGCCTGTCCCCCTACAGGATGATTTTCAACGAAAAATGAAAAATACCCCCAAAAATGCCCCCCAAAGGCCAAACAATACTCAAGCAATAGTCCCCAGATTATTTGTGACTATTTCTTGGCTATTTTTGGGGTGTTTTTTATTTTTCGTCGAAAATCCCCATGTAGGGGGATAGGCCCGACTTAACACTAGATACAGGAGGAGGCAGGCCCCGTGTGCACCGAGGCCCATGCCCCTAGGCATCGCTTCTCCTCGTCGGCTCGGTCTTGGTTTGCCCAGGAAGCCGATCCTCTTGCTCGTTAGTACTAGTCTCCAGTGCTCCAGGTTGTTGTCGGACAACGCTTCGCGCAACCATTCCACGTGGCGCACGAACTGGCGGTTCTTTTTAGATGGATGGTGAGACCCCAGGCGCCGCAGCCGCGTCATCTAGCGATGAACAGAGAGGCGGAGAGAAACAGAGATACGAGATACGAGCAGAATATTTGACCCTCGCCCTCGCTACTAATCCATGCCAAACGCATCAAGATACTTCTAAAGTTTCTACTCTCCCTCGTCTGGCTGGTTTGGCATGGATTCGTGAGGTACCCCGGGGCGGGAATCAATCTTTCTGCCCTGGCAGGAAGGCTCGTCGTCAAGCAGCCGCGCGGTGGCGCGGCCAGAGGAGCCTCTTATCAGTCTGGACTGGACGTGAAACGGCAGAGCGCTGGACTTCTACAAGCACAGGGCCGGCTGGAGGAACAGCAGGAGGAGTATGAGGAGGAGGAGCAGCAGCAGCAGGAGGATGAGGAGAAGGAGGAGGAGGAATGAGGGGGGGGGGTCGAGGCAGGAGGAGGAGGAGAGGAGGAGAACGAGGAGGAATGGCCGGAGGAGGAGGAGGAGGAGGAGGAGGAGGAGGAGGTGGAGGAGGAGGAGGAACAGCTGCAGGAGGAGGAGCACTGCTAGGCCTCATCGGGCCCGCGCCTCAGCTCGAGCACCAGCAGGCCCTGCACGGGCTCGGGGAAGTCTCCCAGCACCGCGTCCGGCTGCGCCGCAGCGCCGTCCACGAGCGCCTCCCGCGCCGGGGGCGTGCAGAGGGCCAGCACCTCCGAGATCCGCACGTCCCGCCGCAGCCACTCGTCCCGCCTGCTGCCGCCCGCCAAGACCTCCTCCCGCGATCCTGCTCCTCTCACGATCCTCCGCCTCTCCGTCCTCCCACTGTCTTCCTCGTCCTGGTCTTCGTTCTCCTCCGCCTCCTCCCGCTACTATCCTCCCCCTCCTCCTCGGAGGAGGCTGTTAGTGGGAGGAGGAGCAGGGGAAACGGAGTAGTAGTAGTAGTAGTAGTAGTAGTAGTAGTAGTAGTAGTAGTAGTAGTAGTAGTAGTAGTAGTAGTAGTAGTAGTAGTAGTTCAGTAGTAGTAGTAGTAGTAGTAGTAGTAGTAGTAGTAGTAGTAGTAGTAGTAGTAGTAAAAGTAGTAGTAGCAGTAGCAGTAGTAGTAGTAGTAGTAGTAGTAGTAGTAGTAGTAGTAGTAGTAGTAGTAGTAGTAGTGTCGTGTAGTAGTAGTAGTAGTATTAGTAGTCGTAGTAGTAGTAATAGTAGTAGTAGTCTCGTAGTAGTAGTAGTAGTAGTAGTAGTCGTAGTAGTAGTAGTAGTAGTAGTAGTAGTAAATAGTAGTTAGTAGTAGTAGTAGTAGTAGTCGTCGTAGTAGTAGTAGTAGTAGTAGTAGTAGTAGTAGTAAGTCGTAGTAGTAGTCGTAGTAGTAGTAGTAGTAGTAGTAGTAGTAATGTCGTATAGAATAGTAGTAGATAGTAGTAGTATAGTAGTAGTAGTAGTAGTAGTTAGTAGTAGTAACAGTAGTAGTAGTAGTAGTAGGTAGTCGGTCTAGTAGTAGTAGTAGTATTAGTAGTAGTGTAGTGGTAGTAGTAGTAGTAGTGTAGTTAGGAAGAGAACAAGTAGCATAGTAGCAGTAGCAGTAGTAGCAGTAGTAGCAGTAGCAGTAGTAGTAGTAGTCGTTAGTAGTAGTCGTAGTAGTAGTAGTAGTAGATAGTAGTTAGCGAGTAGTATAGTAGCAGTAGTAGTAGTAGTAGTAGTTAGAGTGTAGTAGTAGTAGTAGTAGTAGTAGTAGTAGTAGTAGTAGTAGTAGTAGTCGTAGTAGTACTAGCAGTAGTGGTAGTAGTAGTAGTAGTAGTAGTAGTAGTAGTAGTAGGAGGAGGAGGAGGAGGAGGAGGACGAGGAGGAGCAGGAGGAGGAGGATAGTAGTGGGAGGATAGCGATGGGAAGAAGATGAGGAGGACCAATGTAAACCCAAGGCCCCTCACCAATGTTGGAATACAGCCTCCCTCCAAGCTCCCTTTGCACAGGCCCTTATCAATATTCATTTTCACTGAAGGAACTGCTCCGTTGGGAGACAACCGACTGAAAATCCTGAAGCATGCCAAAACACCAGTCTCGAAACGTGAACGCCACGAATCGCACCACCTCGTTAGGGCGTAGGTGGTCTAGCGTGCCTTGTCTTCCACCTGCCCCTCTTTCTCTTCGGGGAGGGGTTTACACCTCCCCGTACCCCCTCCCCTGGACCTGGACGGCGGTCCCTGGCCCAAGATGGCTCCAAGAGCGCCTCGGAGAGCCCAAGATGAGCTCCGAGATGGCTCAAAATATCCCAAAATGCCTCAAGATGGCTCCCAAGATGCTCCAAGAGGCCCTAAGATCGCTCTAAGACGGCTCCAAGTGGCCAAAAAGTTCCCCAAGGAGGCCCCGAAGAAGCCAAATCCGTCCAACACGTAAGGTAAATCATTTTTTTGTTCTCTCGCCTTTTCGCTTCCGATGGCCTTCCGAGGCCTCAAGATGGCTCCAAGAGGGTCCAAGAGGGTCCCAAGAGGGGTCCATGAGAGCCCCAAAACGGCCCCAAGAGCGCGAGCGCTCCAAGAGCTCCCCAAGAGGGGCCCCGGAGGCGACTTTTGAGACTCCCAAGGGGTGGCGGGAATTAGGGAACCCCTCTTGTTTGATCGATGTCCTCCAAGATGACCCAAGAGTGCCCCTGAAGCTCCCAAGAGCGCCTCAAGAGGGCCCCAAGAGGCGCCCAGACAGCCCTAAGGGGCGCTCAAGATGCCTCCAAAAAATTCCCAAGAGGCCCCCATGAGGCCTCAAGAGGATCGCCGAGGCACCCAACACGCTCAAAGAAGCCCCTGGGCTCGCCAAGATGCTCCTCCTC